CCCCGCGACCCGACCCCGGATAAGCGGTAGAAAATGGATGGATGGATGGATGGATGAATTATAATCTTTACCATCTTAAAATATTTTAATAGCACCCCGGTCACAATTTGAGAGGTAGGGGGGTGTGTGGGTTCTACAATCAGATGCACGATGGGGGGTAGGAAGCGGTCTCCCTTTGCCCACGTCACGTGCACAGCTGACTACATCATCCGCCAGGGGAGGTCTTGCAGTTTAGCTTCCAATGTCATGCATGGACCCCAGTGAGTCTATTCCGTATTTCCGCAATGTCAAGCAGAGTGTACACGGGCGTAATGGGCCTTTCACCGTCTTGATTTTGATCCAAATCTAACAAAATACCAATGTGCAGTTAAACTGCACTTTGTGCTAGATAAGCAGTTTGGATAATGGTGAATGGATGAATATTGTCATCATACACACAGCAGATTGATGAAATTATTGCTTCTCAGAGTGGTCAACAAAACACAAATACTGCAAAACGAACACAAATAAAATGTGTCATGATTTTTTTTCAACGTTCATTAACAGCCTCATAATGCTGTATCTCTATCAACTATTCAATGCCGCGCAACTCATCTAGGCAGACCAAAAGCTTTGTCAACATCAGCCATTGCCCAACAGTTTTAATCTAAACAGGATTACTCCAAAAAGTTTGAAAAGCTGCCGTGATTGGTGGATGACATGATCCCGCATTGTATCCGCCGTGCACATAAACACCATCAGATAATCTCAATATGTCTTTGCAGCCCACTGCCTATACCTAATCCCCAGATTGAGAATCTCAGATTAGTAGTCTCCCTGATGATTAATCCCATATTGTTTGTGTTTTGTATCTGCGCTTGCCCCGCAGGGGACCCTTCGCCGGGTGACCTTCTCAGTGGTAAATCAGGCCCAGGATGCCAGTTGCTATGACAGTGGCCTGGAGGACTCAGAGACCCCCAGCAGCAAGAGTTCATCGGGGCCACGTTTGGGAGCCCTGCCACTGCCTGAGGAGGGATACGAGCGCACCACACCCGAAGGCAGTGTGGGGGAGGAGGAGCATGTGGAGAACGGTCAGTGGGCACGCAGACGCATTCGACGTACTCATTCACACACATGCCCACAAGCCAAATTCCATTTAATGGGGTGAAAACAACTCATCCTCGCGTTTTTCTTCTGTGGGCTAACCACCATGTCCACACAAAGAGGAACATGCACATGATTTCATGTGATACTGATATGATTTGATTATTTATTTACAAAACTCAAGCTTTTATGCCTGACAGCAGGTAAAATCTTTTGTTTTGGCAGAAACTTCAAGTTATTTTTCAAATCAAATCACCACCAAGGTTGCAGAAAGACAACATTTGTCCTTTTCATCTTTCCCATGAACAGCATGTGGACATGACAAGGCCGGAAGAACTTTGGGAATGCACGAAGGTCACTGTGACCTAAGATTCTTAGGGAACTGTGCTATGGTTTAATGCTGCTTTCACACAAACAGGGGGATTCTGGATTTTTTTTTTTAATCATGGGGAGTTTAATAACTTTTCTCCATAGTCAGATGAAAAGGGGGATTTAGCATTGAGACATTATAATGCTTGTTTAGGCTCGACCTAGAATCACTTTGAAAGGGTGGGCCTACTGAAAGAACTATTTTTCTGTTTGTTTCATTTCATTTCGGCATTTTTACCAAAAGTGCTTTTTCGAATGTGGATGTTGTCATTCAGAATGGGAACTATAGGAGTGCTCAGCTCACAATGTTAAGTGTAGAGCACCTTGCAGTTTGAACACTGGTATAAAAAAAAAAAAAAAAATGAAAATAGAAATTATAAAAAGTAATAACACAAGTGGTCACATGCTCTAACATTGTGTTGACATATTCCATCCATTCCTTTTCTAGACCACTTGTCCTCATTAGAATCACGGGTAGACAAGAGACTATTACTATTATTATTGTTTGTTTTTTTAACACTTTAAGCTTCCACCACGTCAAATGTCATATGTGCCACTCTCCTGCTTTGAATTTAAACGTAATGAGAGGAGCTGCTTCCATTGGTGTTCACACCCACTACGGCACAAATGCTCATTTTTACAAAAATACAAAAAGAAAGAAAACGCCACTGATGCACACAGTATGGTCGCGCATTGACTCACGCTGGGCTTGAAAATATGTTTTTGGAATGAGGGAGAAAAAGCCAGTCTACCAGTCCACCGTGCTGCCCAAAAGAAATATCAATGAAAACAAACACCACATTCGCAAAAAAATGGTTTGTGCAACTATTTTGGATTAAAAAAATGAAAGGTAAAAATAAACATGTTTCTTAATTTGTTATCAGACACTGACAGTCAGACACACACTCATCCAGTACACTGTGGGATTTGTGTGTTGACATGCCTTGAAAGGCCGTGGTATAGTTTGTGATGTCAGGGGCTCTGCAACCAGTTCCAATTATCTCTTTATGAATCATGTGGTGAGTGCAAAATCATCTCCGTGCTGCTTGCAAATGTCTTCATTCTGCATTTACGCATTTGTCTCGTTTTAATAAAGGGTTGAAAGTGCATCAGCGAGTATCGTTCTGAATTTTCTTCACTTTCCTCTAGCTGCAGCAGCATGGCTTAAGATCAGTCGTCATATTTTTATTTATTTTTTTGCTCCAACACAGAGCAAAAGAAATCAAACAAACAACAGCTCGTAACCTGAAAAACTCCTAATTTGGAGCAATTGTAAGTCAAGATACCACGAAACCTTTATGTTTGTTTTTTCTAAATTGCTTCTTCTTGTGCGTTTAGATGCCAGGCAGCTGCCAGATGTGGCTCTAACCGGAAAGTGCACACGTGAATGTGATGAGTTCGGCCACTCTGACACATGCTGGATGCCCGTCCGCCCGTCCCCTCGCCAGCGCCAACGCCACGGCAGCGACCCCCCGCGGCTCTCCACCTTCGCCCCCGGTGACGACAACAACAATCTGCGCAGAAACGACCATGAGAGCGACAGCGAAAGCGCGGGCAGCGCCGGGAGCTCAGAACCGGGTGTGGTCATGGCGGGAGAAGGTCAGAGGTTACCACTAGTCAACGGCGATCCTCTCGGCACCCTGGGAAGAGCCAACAAGAACATGGGCGACCACAATCGGAACCTTCTCAACCGTAAGATGACCTCGGCGTCGTACGACACCTTCAGCAGCGCCGGCTTCGGGAGGCGTCATCAAGCTGAGGAAGGAGGAGAAGGAGGCCAGAGCCCAGCAGAGGTCATACCGCTGACTCGGACTGGAGGGGACTACAAGACCACATCCTGCCTCACGTTGTCACGCCGTGAAGTCTACCTGTGACCACCTTCCAATGCCGCAATCGCTCCATTGGCTCGTCGCCACATCCCAAGGACTTGTTACAATGTGAAAATGTTGATTTGGTTTCCCAAAAAGTTGTACATGGGGTGGAAACTTCAGAATTGTAATATTTAGAGGCACTTAAACTTCAGCGAGTTATGGATCAACTATTTTGAGAGCCCCCGCCAGGAGTACTTTCCTTTCAAAAACAAACAAAACAAGAAGAAAAAAAAGTTGCCTAGAGGCAATGATTCTATTACGTCCATGTGGGGGAGGAAGACTTCATCTCGTCTTTTTTTACCTGAACCTGATGCATGCCTGACCTTCTGCCACTGAGGCAACTGTGTGAAGAATAGAGAGAGCGTGAAAGAGCGAGAGAGACTGAGTAAATCACGCCATACAGGCTTCGGTATAAAATCTAACTTTTAAGACTCTATCATCAAACATTCAGTCACGTCCAGTCAGAATAAATAAGTACAAAAAAAAAAAATATTGACTGGGTAATTTCGGTTCAATTTCCGCATTTATTAGTGCCACACTGGAAATCAAAAAGAAAAAAGTTGTTGAAAGATAAAAACGTCATATTATGAGACATATTTGTGATGTTTTAAGGATAAAGTCATTGTGTTCCAATAAAACTCTAAAACTACAACAACAACAAATATTGGTGGGAAAGTCATAGTTTACTTAATTAAAATCTTTTACGAGAATTAAGTTCTAAAGTCTCAACAACAAATTTGTGAATCTGTCATTTTAATGAGTGAATTCCCGCTAGGACATAAATGCACTCACATCTTATGAAAAACATAAATGGCTCCATACGCAAGATTTCTAGTGAATGAGCTCGACTAATACAGTGATATCAATTGAGGTTGCTTCTTAGGAACAGACAATCATTCACACAATCACATGAAACTGTACTTTGTTATAAAATGACAACTTTTATGGAACAGTATCACTTTATTCTAAAAAAAAGAAAAAAAAACCTTCAGGTTTCCTCGTAATATTACGTGACTTGATTCACATAACATTTTCACTTTCTTTTTCTTCTCCTTCAGTCTTTTTTCTTTTTTTAGTGTGGCCCTAATACTGCGTACTTTGATTCATACCAGTTAGACACAACACATAGATAATATAAAAATTCAAATACATTAAAATACCTTGAGGAGTACCTCGCACTTAGAGCTTAGAAACATATTTTGTACCTTGATGGATTAAAAAGCGACTATAACTGTACTTTTACTTCTGACACTCAACCATTGAACAAGTGTAAACAGTTACATCGGAAATATTATTGATGATCTTAATGGTCTTGTATGCAGGTTCGCCTTCATTTGTATTAACAGACTGCAACAATGTGATTTTTAAAAACATTTTTTATGATACAATATAACCACCCAGAACACAGAGCATCAATAGCATCACGACGCGTTTAACACATTGCCTTCGCATTCAGCTTGTATGTATATAAAGTAGGCGCGTTAGACAACAAAGCGGCATTCTAAGCTCACCGACATGACCCGTGACCCCCTCAGCGTGTACGCAAGCCCGCCGACACGCACGAGCTCGCGGGCATGTGAAGATCAATCCACGCAAAAGCATTTACACATTCTGGAAGACGTGCATACTTTCAGTGACATTGTAACATAAAGACGAATGGGCATTGGCTTTCATGCAGAAAACAAGCACACTGTCATTAGGAGGACGTGCAGTCATTTTGCACTGCTTAAGTGCAACACTTTGCCTGATCCCCCTCCAGCCGATATTTAAACATGAAATATATTCAAATGACATCATGCGCCATTAAAAGGAATTCCATCTACTGTATGTAACATTAGACAACGTGCAGATAAGACATATTCAGCATAGTGTAAGTAGCTGACTCTGCATGAAAGATAATGCTAACTACTTCTTTGCTCTACCAAAAAAAAAAAAAAAAAAAAGAATGAAAGATAGAAAACCACAAGTCTTTTTTTTTTTTTTGATAACATGCCAGTTTGGATACATCTGTAATATAAGTGTGTGCTTACGGTAAACTAATGTTGGCAGAAAGAGGTGACATCTTGGAATGGAGGGTGCACAAACCAACCTGGAAATTCAGAACCCTTTTTAATTCTAGCAAATGGTGCCAAGCCGACGCGAGCGTGCATGAACTCCCTGGTCCTTCCCGCCGAGGAGCGGCTGCGGATCGAGGCCAGCACATCTTAATTCCCATCATCAGAGTGTGGCTGGGGATAATAGGGTTAGCACGTCCCTCTGGTCTTAATGAGTTCCTTTTCTGGCTCTTCTCTCCTCCCTTGATCTACACATATCTTATTATGAACGTCTTAATATGTGAATGTAACTGGAAACTGTAGGGAAGTGTGTCTCCTCATTGTTCTGGAAAGACAGGACTTTCGGAAGGTTGTGCCGCCGCAGTTTCACCAAGATTTCCAATGGAGGATGAGAGTCGTGATGGAACTTAAAGCGGGAAAATCCAATGAAAACATCACAGCCGAAAAGTGGCACATTTTTAGGTGAATAATGACACTTTGTATACATGTATATACCTTCACCTTAACCGATATGTGAGTGACGGACACCCTTGAGCTTGATTTTCAACTGTCCCTTCCTGGAGCCATCCTTATCTCCAAATGTACTGAGTTTTGCTTCTGATGGACTGAGGATCAATCCACAGACACGGATTGTTGGGATTGTTGGAAAATGCCCATTTTCTTATCGGGTTCCATGACAGAAAAGATTTTGTTTTTGTTTTGATTCAACTCTGCTCTTCAAACTGCTGTTTTAAGGCAGTTTCATTTATTGCACCTTTGAAGGGAACTTCCTGTAAATGAATCAGTGTGGGTGTGTATCTTTTTTTTTTTTTTTATAATATACTGCACGTTTCAAAATGTTTCACGACTGCAAAAACAAGAGGGGATACTTTGATGAGGACATTTTGTCAGACAGGACAGCGGACATTTGTCATCCCCCTTGTGCTGTTTCGCTTATAGCCATGTACAGATGAAATGACACTGCAGAACACACAACTGGATACAATACAGGACAATGGCATGCTTAAGCTCTTCAAATCGGCACTTAACAGTGAACAAAAAAATAAATAAATAAAATGGGAGGAACATTTTTTTTAAACTCTTCTGATTATTTTTCCTTCATGGTTTTCTTTTACGCGGCTCACTGTTTTTTTGGTGTTCCCATCCTCTTATTGACATGAGAACTAATTGCATTTGCTATGACAAGGATGAGAAGGACCTGTCAGCACATCGTTTGGTATGAAGACGAATCCTGTAAAAGTTTGAATTTGACATTAAAAACGTCGAACACTCACGCGTCTACTCTTTGTTGACCGTGTTTCACACACACTTACATGAGATTAACAACCATTTGAGCTCCCGCATTCACAAAGCAGTCAAACAAAAAAAAGGAGAGTAATTATTTGAAATAATTTTAAGTTCTCATTTGCGACAATGAGTTACCGTTTAAGGCAAATGCAATTTGACAACCAGTATGCCAGAATTAGGAAATGTATGTTGATTTATTTCCAGATAACTGAAAAATAATATAACAACTCGCAATATTCCAATCCATCCATTTTCTCTCGCACTTGTCCTTATTTTAGTTGCGGGTGCATTGGAGCCAATGCCAGTTGACTTTGGACAAGAGCTTCGTGACACCCAGAACTGGTCGCCAGCAATTGCGGGGCATATATAGACAAACAAGCATTTACACTTCTGTGTATAATTTGGAGTCCTGAATAAACTTCACACATGTAAAAAGTAGCCACTACTCCAGGAATAGTACAAAACAGTTTATATCCATTTGCAAAAGTCGTTTTACTCATTGTTTTGGCAATTCCATTTCAAAACGTATCTTTGCTTCATTACATTTAAGGAACCTTTTAAAAAAAATGTCTGCAGGCCATACCAATGCACATTAAAATGCTAACACCTTAATTAACACCTATGAATACCAGAATTAGAGAGATAGAAAGTTGGCTTCTTTCCGGGGATGTTAAAGTTGTCCTGAATGTTGTTTTTAATGCTCATGCTGAAACACAATATTCTGTCCAAGATAAGAAATATTTTATTGATGTCCAGAGGCTAAATTCAATTGAGATGTATCACATAATAATAAACGTGCCCAATCCTGATTATTATCTTTATGATGGCAGATATTTGATACAGCTCATATCTCATTACACAGTGCAGTTGTTGCACCTTACGAGGGTACTGATCTTGCTATAGACACTAATTAAGAAACGCAATACATTTCATTTACGGCACTGAAATCAATTTTAATGTCTCTATTTCCTCGCATGGCTTTTACTGGGGCTGTTTCGACTTGGTAAAGATTGTTATGGGCGCAATATATTTCTGCGACATGAAACACACACACACACACACACACACACACACACACACACACACACACACACACACACACACACACACACACACACACACACACAAAGAGACGATTGTGACATTGTCATTCCAAGGTCGAAAATGTGACTAATCTAAGACCAAATCCTTTAATGTCGCTCAAACGACACTATCATGCATGTTCTTTTTTTTTTTTTTTTTTTTTTTGCCCATTGGTCAAATGAATATTCAGCTGAAAGAAAATACAGTCTATTTTGGACCGAAGACTTGCATGCATGCAGGCTTTAATTGCTCTGAGATCACCGTGAAGGACTCGTAATGTCATCAGGTCCTGCAAGCGTTTTGCTTTGGTGGAATATGCAACGCTGCCTCCGTGTGGTTGTTGATAGAATTGTGACCGCTTCTCCATTAATTATTTTTGACAGGGGATGCTGCTGTGGATGCATTTTTTATTATTATTATTATTATTATTATTATTATTATTATTATTATTATCAATATTATTATTATTATTATTAGTTTGAATTATATTTGAGAATGCAAGGATGAAAAGCATCGAGTCTTCCGTTGTTATGTGTCCCGTGATTGGCTAGCAGTACCTCCTCTTGCCATCTCTTGCCCCAAATCAGCTATAGGATTGGCTGCTGGTCACCCGAATGAGGGCAAGTGCTGTATCGAAAATGGATGGATGGATGTATAATATATAATTGATAGAATTAGAGGCCACAGTTCGGGTCTATTAGAGACAAGCTGTCTGATATGTCATCATAAAAAACTAATTTTCCTTTGATCATCAAAAACATCATAAACCTCTGCCAAGTAAAATGTATTATCACCCTTTATTAAAACATCTAACTCATGACATATTGCAACATAAATCAATCTTGTTGTCCCCCAGCAAATACAAAGAATAACCGCAGTGGGCTTTATGGATAAATCACCAGATAAGTGGAAATGTGCTGCGTAAAAGCAAAATAACAACCAGACAGTCTTCGCAGGAGCCTCAATGAAATGCCAGATTGACTCAATGCATGTGCTTTCCTTTTCTTTTTTTTTTTTTATTTATTATTGATTTCAGACAGATAATGGAACATATTGCAACGGCGGACCCCTAATACACTGGAGAGTGTATGTATCAAACGGTCTTTCGAGCTGTCGAAAGCCTCTAGGATTTAATTAAAGGAAAGTGAGATGGTCTTTGAATTAGTCAGTCCATTGAAAGATATCGTTCCATTTCCTCATCTTGCTCCTTTTTGCATAGCCTGCATCAATCAAATTTAAACGTCACATGCATGCTGTCAACACCAAAGTCATTGCTGCGGAGATAGGATAACACCTGTCAGGGTGTTGTGTTTGTCTATTGAGGAAACCCTCGCAGCGGAGCCGTAAACAGGCACTCTCGCCGATGTGCCACGCCGTTGATGTGCTATTTGATCCTCTTGTGGGCTTTTTCGTTTCCTGTCTCTTGATCTTTTTTTCAACCCCCCACGGTCACATCGGCCTGAGTGAATCAAACAACTGCCCTCCTCGATGGAAAAATGTCATGTTGAAGCATACTGAATCCTTTTGCAAAGTATACACGTAGGAGCCTAAAAATGCAGGATTGAAGATTATTTTGGGGGGTTAGGACTGGGGTTTGGGTGGGGTTGGCGCAAAATTTCTTTTTAGGGTTACATTTGAAAAATGGCGCGGCCCGGTGGTCGGCTGCTTAACGCGGCGACCTCGCAGTGCAGAGGTCATGGGTTTGATCCCAGCCTTCCTGGGTGGAGTTTGCATGTTCCCCCCGTGCCTGCGTGGGTTTTCTCCGGGTACTCCGGTTACCTCCCACATTCCAAAAACATGCATGACAAGATGATTGAACACTCAAAATTGTCCCGAGGTGTGAGTGTGAGCGCGGATGGTTGTTCGTCGCTGTGTGCCCTGTGATTGTCTGCCAACCGGTTCAGGGTGTGCCTGAACCGACTACTGTCCAAAGACAGCTGGAATAGGCTCCAGCACCCCCCACGACCCTTGTGAGGATAAAGCGATCAGAAAATGGATGAATGGATGGACATTTACTCTTCTATGATCAAAAAGATAGCAAGTTTGCATTTCTGTCCGATTTCATGCTCTCAGGTTTTAATTTCTCATGCCATTGTGAGGGAAATAAGGCTTCTTTTTTTCTTTTTGTACTTGATACATTTTTAGGATATGCATAGCAGAGTCCTGAGGGATTATCAGCGCTAACAGCACTAACGCGTCGAACTCACAGTGCAGAGGTCGTGGGTTCGATCCCAGCCTTCCTGGGTGGAGTTTGCATGTTCTCCCCGTGCCTGCATGGGTTTTCTCCGGGTACTCCGGTTAACTCCCACATTCCAAAAACATGCATGACAAGATGGTTGAACACTCAAAATTGTCCCTAGGTGTGAGTGTGAGCACGGATGGTTGTTCGTCTCTGTGTGCCCCGCGATTGTCTGACAACCGGTGAAACAAAATATTACAAAGTACTGTAAGTGTTATGTTTTTGTTTTAGGTTACATTTGGTTTTGTTCCCTCATGTGCCATTTTTGTCTCCACCTGTTGTCATCGTCCAGGTCCCTTGTGTTTAACCAATCAGCTCCCTCAACCCTTTGTTTCTTGTCCAGGTGTTTCTCGTCGTCTCGTCACTTTGTTTGTATTTAGTTCCCTGGGTTATGTCAGTCATTGCCGGATCATTGTGTTGCTGTCACGTTGTTTGTTTCTGTCACCGTTTTTTGTGTCTGTCACAGGTTTTTGTTGCTTTGGTTCCTTGTGGTTTTCAGGACTTTGTTTGATTGAGTACTTCAGTTATTTTTTTCCAGTGTACTCCTGTTTGTATTTTTGTTAAATACTTCTTGGTCAGTCCACCCTGCTCCTCCCTGCCTCCCTGCTTTTTGGGGTCCTCCAACTACCAACATGCAAAACGTGACAATAACATTGCGATGCAGCTATGCAGCACCAACCTCAAAGCACATGTCTTCATGGACATCCCATTTTAGTATTCCTATAAATCCATCATATTAAGGTTACATGACAAAAAATTGTGAGAGAAATAAGGCTTCTTTTTTTCTTTTTGTTCTTGATACGTTTTTAGGATATGCATAGCAGAGTCCTGAGGGATTATCAGCGCTAACAGCACAGCTGGCTCAGTAAATTGCCCAAATGCCATTTCCTTTCTAAACAGCTGCCCGATGCTCTCAAGGAATGACTGCATTGTTATGGCACATTTTCACACAGTTACACCACTTTCACACACATTTTTCAGTTTCTATAATTTTATGACCTGCTGCTGAATATGGATAATTTGCATTTTGCTTGTGACATTACATCATATTTGGTTCAGCAAACACGTTTGTGTGAAGGTGACGCTGTCTGAAGACATTTTTCTCTTGAGGGAACTCGACAATGGGTGTGTTTTATTTTCACTCCAGGAGAGACAAGTTCAACAAAATATTACAAAGTATTGTAAGAGTTATGTTTTTGTTTTAGGTTATATTTGGTTTTGTTCCCTCATGTGCCATTTTTGTCTCCACCTGTTGTCATCATCCAGGTCCCTTGTGTTTAACCAATCAGCTCCCTCAACCCTTTGTTTCTTGTCCAGGTGTTTCTCGTCGTCTCGTCACTTTGTTTGTATTTAGTTCCCTGGGTTATGTCAGTCATTGCCGGATCATTGTGTTGCTGTCACGTTGTTTGTTTCTGTCACCGTTTTTTGTGTCTGTCACAGGTTTTTGTTGCTTTGGTTCCT